TGGTTCTGGAAGGAGCTAGTGCTCCTCTTTGGTCAAAGCGTGGGCCCCATGATGATCCCCAACATAGTGGTGAAGAGCCTTGAAGTTGTCTGTGTATTCCCTCAAATGGCAGCTGGGGATTTCAGGTAGTTTTACATTCTTGTGCATTCCTTTTCTCTGTAGCACTGTAGCACTGTTCTCCCGTTGTTCATCGATTTGCTTAAGCAGGCCCAGTAACGTCTCCATTGTGAGACTTGTTACTGTGTTTGGCATATAGAATACGTCATGGGGAGCTTGCAAGGCTTTGTCATGCGGGTGAGATACTCTCAGTAGTTTGCCCACCTCTCCGAGAGGGACAGAGGAATTGAACCTGGGCCAATCGGGTCAGTCTTGTGCCAGGCAAATGCCCTACCCACTGTGCTATCGCTCCTTTTCTCTAGAATTCAAAATATTTAGGGGCTGAAATGTGCACAAATTATTTCAGCATTTCAGCTTATTCCTGGACTCTTCTTCCATGTTTTCCTAGCGACGTATTTTTTTTCCACACCCACTCAGACCATCTGTGTACCAGGCAAGTTTTTAGAGATGTAAAATCCAGTGAAATCTGTCCATTTCATTTATGTAGAAGGGACTATGACTAATGATACTGATGGTGTAGGGGATGGCATGGTGAGTGAGGAAGCATGTCTGCATGTGTGAACAGTACGGGTATCCTGGCAGAGCTGGCACATAGGTCCACAGCCTGCAGGTCCAGCACTGACCTTCCAGTCTTAACCTGAGAGGCCTTGAGTGGGAAAGCATCCACCCGGTGTCTGCTGGAGACTCAGAGACCAGTTTCTCTGCCTCCAGTCATCAGATAGAAGCTTTTTATTTCCCTTTTTGGGTCATACTGGCAATGCTCAGGGGCTACTCCTCACTCTGCACTAGAGAATTTCTCCTGGTGGTACTTGGAAGACCATGTGGGATGCTGGGATTTGTACCCGGGTTGACCGCATGCAAGGCAAACGCCCTACTTGCCCTATTATCGCCTGGCCCTGACAGTAGCTTTTTCTCTTCCAGTTTTATGTGAACTCCATGATTTTCAGTAGTGCTCATGTTAGGGTTTTGTGCATGTAATGTTCTGGCTCACCGCTGCGCCTCCCCCCATGTCTCAGTGAGGCAGGAGCCTTTCCAACATTCATGCAGATTTTTTATACTTGCTTGGTTCTATTTGCTTGACATGTCAATGATGAAATGATTGCTGTTCATTCAAAGTGATTTTAGGGAAGATGCATCATGTGTATTATCTTTAAGCACTCGCAGAACACTTGTGGGCACTCTTCATCTCTCCCCAACATAGAATACTTGGGGATGGGGCTGGGATTCTGCAGTCCAAGTCATAGGGTTTGGCGAGATACTGAGAAACCTTCCAAACACATCCTCTCTCCAGAACCCCTAGGCCTCCTTTGCCCCATTCACTAAGGGAATCCTTCGAGCCCAGCTCCAGTACCTGGCTGCTTGGGTTTCCACCATGGAGTTGATGCAGAACATGAGGTTGGTTCCTCACGCAGGAATGTTCTGGGGGAGGAAGTGATATTGGCCAGAGGATCCTGACTGATGCCATCCTATTCAGATGCCATTAACCTTGGGGACCAAACGAAGATGCTCTTGATGTTCAGCTGATTCGTGATCATACATAGAAAATAGGCTCTAACGGCAAACTGCTCTTGCTCTGATATGATGGTAAAAAGTGCTCTATTTGAGGCTGGAGAGGTAGCACAGTGGGAAGCACTTTTGCCTTGCATGCGGCCAACCTGGGTTCAATTCTCAGCATCCCATATGGTTCCCCTGAGCACCGCCAGGAGTAATTCCTGAATACAGAGCCAGGAGTAACCCCTGAGTATTGCCTGGTGTGACCCCAAAAGGGGGAAAAAAGTGGCCTATTTATTAATTCGTATATTAAGATCTTGGTCAGATCCTGCCATGTGTGCTGTTAAAGGTCTTTAATTTTAAATTATTTTTGTTCGATAATCTCGTTTAAAAGTGACATTATGATTTATCACCACTAATCAAGATTCTGATCCCTCCTCGACGTCTTGTTTGTATCTGTTTTTGTTCTTTGTTACATAAAGATGAGGTTTCTATATAAAATCCTGACTGTGTAATATCGGCCTAATGAGTCACAGATGGGCAGATGCTGGCACATTACCATTTAATAACATTTTAAACTCATATTCCATAGTAAAACAAAAACAAATTGTACACATCTGTTTTCCAACTTGTAACAGTTTTGAATTTGTGTTGAATCTATGTTTAAAGGGCTTTTACTTGGGGAGAAGACAAAGAGATACAGGTCACCTCAAACCTCCCCCAGCCACTTCCTAGCCTTATCAGAAAGGATTTGGCAAAAGGGCTAAGATTCCCTCTGCTTCTCTGGGAGAAGCCCCAGCCCCAGAGACCGACAAACAAAGACTTTATGGTTCCAGAGAGGCCTCACACTGCAAACCTGACTTGACTGACTTCTATATCACTGTATCACTGTCATTCCATTGTTCATCAGTTTACTCGAGTGGGCACCAGTAACATCTCCATTCGTCCCAGCCTGATATTTTAGCAGCCTCTCCTTACTCGCCTTTCCCAACGCTGCTGTATTAGAGGCTCTTTCAGGGTCAGGAGAATGAGACCCATTATTGTTACTGTCTTTGGTATATTGAATATGTCACAGTTAGCTTTCCAGGCTCTGCTGTGCTGGCAGGATACTCTCCATAGCTTCCTGGGCTCTCTGAGATGCATATATATATATATATATATATATATTTATATATATATATGAACAATGGAAGGAAAGTGCTACTATATAGAGCATAGAATATATACTATATATAGCACTGTAGCACTGTTACTGTTCTCCCATTGTTCATCGATTTGCTCGAGCGGGCACCAGTAGTGTCTTCATTGTGGGACTTGTTGTTACTGTTTCTGGCATATTGAATATGCCACGGGGAGCTTGCCAGGCTCTGACAAGTGGGTAGGATACTCTCTGTAGCTTGCCAGGCTCTCTGAGAGGGATGGAGGAATCGAACCTGGGTCAGCTGCGTGCAAGGCAAATGCCTTACCCGCTGTCCTATCGCTCCAGTCTATCTATCTATCTATCTATCTATCTATCTATCTATCTATCTATATTTCCCTCTATGATTTGTTGTCTACTGTCTAAACCCCATCAAATATGATGTGGTAGTTATGTAAAATTGGTAGGAAGTGTCTTATGATGTGTCCAGGAATATGTTCACTTATAAGTGAGGCTCGGCCTGAGCGTGTGGAAAGCAGTCTAGAACGTGGCAGTGGTTGGGTAGTGGAGGTTGGCTTCCAGGGCTGTGTCCCTTGGGGTGGGTAGGGCTCTCACCCGCCCCCTCTCTGGGTCACCCCAAGTGAAAACAGCCTGGTGTGGAGTCCCAACTAACTTCTGAAGAAGGGAAACTCATCTCTATTAGGCACAAAATAAATACAATATTTAAAAATTCTATAAACATCCTCAAAATCAATTATGGAGGAAGGGAGGTAGCAAGAAGGCCCTGGTGAGGAATTCTGCAGCCCGAGTGTCATTGTCGTTATTGTTCACTTTACTTGTGTGCTAAATATGTTCTGTGTGTGGTGGGCACAGCTAGAACAGAAACCGAGCAAAAGCATCGTTGCTCTCTCAGAACTTCCCCGCCGAGAAGGCACAGGGCTAGGCGTCCACGGGCAGCCTTACTACCCAACTTGTCCCAGGTTGCTCAAGAATTCAAAACCCCCTTTCTGCTTTAGGGGGTTGTGTGAACGGTCAAGTTCTTTGGGGACAGTTTTGTGACAGAAGTGATTACTGTCCAGTGTGGCCATAACCCTGCTGTGAATCACCCTGTGGGGAGAGATGGTTTTCCTCCCAGCCCCTCCTCAGGTGCTCCTACGTGGGTCGTGACAGGGCCTGGAATCTTCTCTGAGGAAAACCACACTTGCCACCCACACCTTGGTGCTTGGGGAGCACCAAGGGCTGCCACGTTCTGGCCACGGCTGTCCTGGGAATGAGAACCTAGGTCACTGGTTTGAGAGGCACACAGAAGGGCCATAGAGGGAGCCCGGTGCTGTTTTCCTGGCGTTATGACCCCTTGTATTTGTGCCAAGGAGAGAACAGTACATCCCAGACCCGTGTTCCCCCTTCGCTCCCCACAGAGGACAGAGACAGTGAGAGTCCAGCCGGCTGTGCCCTGACAGGGTCCATGGGCCATAGGGAGCCTGGGATTTCCAGGCTGTGGCACCCACGCCAGGCTTGGAGCAGGAGAGGGTGGTATTTGGTCCGTGCTTGTTCTGTCTGTCTGTCTGTCCACCAGTGCGATGTCCGTGACGTTTCCTGTCGTGTTGTTTGGGTGTGTGCCCTGCCCCTAGGGTCTGCCAGGCTTCCCCACGGTCGCTGCCCTGCACAGTAATCAGATCCTCACCGTCAAGGTTTGTGGCCGGCACCCGCATGTGCTCCATCAGCCCATGGCCAGCGTCAGGGGCAGCAGGAATCGCTGCCTGCATTCACATTCCCGGGCCCAGGGACCGCCCCCCCCGCCTCCTTCATGAGGCCCCAAAGACCCCTGTCAAGAAGGAAACTAAGCGTCAGGCATGCAGGACCAAGAGAGGGAGGCGTTGTCTGGGGCAGACGCAGCTAGCCCGGATGCCCAACTCTACCCACCCAGTGAAGGCCCAGTTCCTGCTCCCTGACGCTGGTTGATGGGTCTGACGGACAGTGAGCTGGTACTTGGGCTCCAGGTGGTCTGCTCCCAGGGCAAGCTGGCCTGCTTCTCTCCAAGCCCGGGTCCGAGAAAGGTCCCTTCCTCACGTAAAGGCGGGGCATGCCTCTTGAGCCAGAGACCACGGCAGACCCAAGTGCCAGTTCCAATGCATTGAACTGCGATGATCAGTCTAACATGGATGTCTCTATTTCTTTCTTGGCACCTTCTGATGTCTATTCTGCAACTCTCTCACCTCTGAACTCCAACCTTTGACCTCAACTGACTGATCAGATGGTGTTTCCTAAAATCAATCATGGCTTTCTCTCTGCTGATCAGCAGCTCATTAAACGCCGCCTGATTAAGGTAGTGCTTCCTCTTGCTCTCCCCTGATTCTTTTTCACACTCGGTGGGGATTCTGCATGGGGTGGGAGTGGAGGGGGACTCTCATTTCTCTCAGCCGGGGAGGGGGAGGTAGGTGTTATTTGGAAGCACCTTAGTGCTCAATTGTTTCCTGAGCTGCTCAAGTTTGAAATGAATTTGAAAATCCAGAAACCTATATGCTACCTAGCATGTTTTCCTTTAAAAAGAGAAACTGCTTTAGTGGTCTCTAATAACAGATGCAGCCTCTCGGTGCTTTTGGTAGCTTGTAAATGATTATGCTGCACGACCAGACCCTCCTGGGATCCGTTGTCTGGGGTCTACAAAAGTAAACACATGTTGAAGAGCAGATGCAGCTTTCCCAGTGAACCAAGGTTACTGGAACGGGGGCAGCGTTGGCATGCAATGAAGCTCTGCAGAGCCACAGAGCAGATCTGATACAGAGACTTACACTCCCACTGCCAGCCAGAGCTGTAAGACCTCGGCTCATCCAAACATGTATGAACATGTATGAACATGTATGTGCCTGGGTCAGCAGGCAGACTGAATATGGGCTTGGTGTCACAAGATGCTCTGGTTCTTTTCATCCTGTAAACATGGGTTAGATCACACCCATCTGAGGTACTGGGAAGAGACATGGGTGTTTATCTCTCGTGGTCATGACTGGTTGTTCTCTGATTTCAGGGTGACCAAGGACAAGCCGGCCCCCCAGGGCCCCCTGGCCCTCCAGGCCCCAGGGGCCCTCCCGGGGACACGGGGAAGGATGGCCCCCGAGGAATGCCTGGCGTGCCCGTGAGTTATCCTTTGGATCAGTGGCTCACACAAGTTTTGTCTCTTTGTAAGGGCTGAGAATTGAGAGGGAGAGGGAGTAGGGATACAGGGGGTTCAGGTCAGTGTTGGGCTGGAGGAAGATGGGGTGATGCTGAGACCCCACCCACAGGGGCACCACCCCCAGGACTACTTGATCCATGGGGCTCACACACAAACCACAGAGCTGGGGTTTGTCTCAGTCACCAAGCTGGTTGCTAGGTAAGTCCAGGAAACACCAGTGGAAGGGCCACCCTCAAGCTCTTCCCAAGAGATTCCTGGGAAACTAGCCTGATGGCATTCGGAGGGCCAGAGGCAAAGACAGGAGAGCACCGTGCAGTGCATGCAAATGTGGGCGATAAATTCCGTCATTGAATCCCTTGCAGTTAACCAAATCACCTAATTGTTCAATGGTGAAATTGATGGTTGAACATCCATGCCCAGGGGTTTAAATAGCATGTGTCCTTTGTATGAAAAGTTTATTAATGGAAATGATTCAGAGTCTGTATGTGTTTTGTTTCACCATGGTAAAGAAATAAAAACTAAGCAGAAACAAACACAGTCCCAATACTTGATCTAACTTAGTTGAGAAATACTTAGTAAATATTACAGGTTTAGTTTTGTAAAAGCAACCCAGCAATTTAAATAAGTACATGGAAAAAGTACCCACAAATGACCCTTTGATATCTTGTATGAATTTATATGAAAATATTTAAAAAATATTTATAGTATGACTTTCAGAATGAAAATGTATAGTTATTACTGAATCCAATAATGTAAGTCTTTATGTATTGCTTTAAAAAAATATCTTTTTTTTTTTTTTTTGCTTTTTGTGTCACACCCGGATCAATGCTCAGGGGTTACTCCCAGCTCATGCACTCAGGAATTACTCCTGGTGGTGCTCAGGGGACCATATGGGATGCTGGGAATTGAATTCGGGTCGGCCGCGTGCAAGGCGGACACCTTACCCTCTGTGCTATTTTTCCAGGCCCCCCAAAACTTATCTTTATAGCACTGTAGCACCATCCTCCCATTGTTCATCGATTTGCTCAAGTGGACACCAGTAACGTCTCCATTGTGAGACTTATTGTTACTGTTTTTGGCATATTGAATACTCCACAGGGAGCTTGCCAGGCTCTGCCATGCAGGTGGGATACTCTCGTAGCTTGCTGGGCTCTCTGAGAGGGGTGGGGGAATCGAACCCAAGTTGGCCACATGCAAGGGAAATGCCCTATCCACTGTGCTCTCGCTCCAGCCCATCTTTATAGTATAGAAATAATAAAAATATTTATTTACAAAATTCAAAAATAGACTATAAAAAGGAAACAATTAAAGTCAGTCATAATCATGAATGTCTTGGCATATTTCATTTTTCTCTCTCTACACTCATATTTTTTTCCAAAGAGCAATACTTTAAAACTTCTCCAAGACAGCCTTCTCCTGAGGCCATTCCTGGAAAGGAGCTGCTGTGAATTTTTCCTCTAACAGGAGGAACTGACTTTCAGTAGGTGGTTTCTGGATGCTAGTAATGCTGTGCTCTGGAGGTATTAATTAAAAACACAAAAACAAATTTTCATGTTTATTGCATTAACAAAATTTTCACTGTTCCTTTTTAAGGGTGAACCAGGGAAACCAGGAGAACAAGGCATGATGGCAAGTATCTCTGTTTATCATTTTCCATATCACAATGATGAAAGCCAAGTTAGTCTGAGTTAGTCTTAATCTAGACACCGTGTAGACATTGCAAGTGTGGGACAAACATATCCATCCTATGACCCATAGCAGAAAGAAAGAAAACTAGTAAAAGTTTAAAAATAATAATTGCTTAACCCAATGGAATGTTTCTGTAGTTTTACCGTGGATAGTGATCACAAGCTGGTTCTTTTCTGCATTCTTTTTTTTTATATATAATTTTTATTAGAGAGACACCATGAGGTACAGTTGTAGACTTACAAATTTTTGTGCTTGGGTTTCAATTATACAGTGATCAAATACCCATCCCTCCACCAGTGCCCATTTCCCACCACCACGGATCCCAGTATCCCTCCTACCCCCCATCTCCCCCATCCCACCCTGCCTCTGTGGCAGGGCATTCCCTTTTGTTCTCTCTCTCCTTTTGGGTGTTGTGGTTTGCAAAAGAGGCAATGGGTGGCAATCATGTTTGGTCTATAGTCTACTTTCAGCATGCTTCTCCCATCCTGGGAGGATCCTCCCAACACCCTTTATTTGGTGCTCCCTTCTCTATCTGAGCTCCCTTTTCCCCTGGATAGACATAGAAAGATTGCATTTATCTGGGGAACATAAAGTAACAAAATAGGAGACTAACACCCAAGAATGGCCAAGATTAGTACCAGGAACTTTTCTGCATTCTTACATGAAGGTTACTTGAAATTCTCAGGAGTTTTCCATTGTGCCTATGTCTGTGCAAATCCTTTCAACTCTGATGCCTGCTGTGGCATCCCAGAACACAAAGTTCTAAAATTAAATGAGTATATATTTTAAATATATATATATCTTTCTTCAAATCCCATATATTTTCTAGAATATAGTATGTAAATAACAGCATTAGCCCATTTGCCTTCATCTTCTACCTTAATACCACTGAGCATGGGTGCTCAACCTAGTCCTGAGTTAATTATGATAAGCACTTGGCATTCCCAATTTCCCATCCAGTAGCAAGTTGTCAAATGGAAATGATACTGGATAATTTTTCTATAAGTCTTTCCTTTTCCTTTGAACCTCTTTGGATTTATTTCATATTCTAATTTTTTCAATAAGAGATTGAGCTAAAAGTATATGTGCCTTGTAGTCTTTCAAAAGATGTCATATCATTTTTAAAAGGAAATGTCTGCAATATGTATAATATACATAAAGTATTATATATTATATATATATATATATATATATAACGTAGATCAATCCCAAGCCTGTATCTCAGTGAATTTCCACAGCAAGCATTACAACATAACCACAAACCAGATCAACAAATTGAACTTTATATCCTGGAAGACCCCCAGCACCCCAGATCCCACCCCCCTCTGAAGTCCTCCACTATCCCAGACCCCACCCCTCTCCCTAGAGGTCTCCATAGATTAGCTTTGCCTTGCATTTGATTTTTTTATTAATAGAATCATGCAGTACATACACTTTGGTGTCTGGCTTCTCTCATTCAACATTGTGTTTGTGAGATCACCCACTTCTGTTTTAATAGCCTTCCCAGCTGCTTAGGAAAAAAAAGTAGAAGGAAGAAACTGACTTCCTCGACCATCCCGTTAAAACTCCATCACTCATGTGGCAGCAAATGAATGAATGGCCTGTCTGACCTTGGGCGAGTCACTTAACCTCTTAATTTCTCATCTGTAAAGAAAGCATAATAATACCCCCCCCCACCTCCCTTATAAAGTTGCCAAAGACAAATGCAATAAATTTAGGGAAAGCACTCTAAAATCTCTAATGAAGAATTGTATGAGTATGTTATTATTATTATCACTCAATTGTTCCCTCTAGGGTAAATTACAGGTGAGCATGGATTTATATAACAGATGTATTCCTGTAAAGTTCTGTGTGAATCAGATTTTCATAAATCAACATATCATAAATGTGCTGGAGAATTGTGCTATTTAAAGCAATCCCATTCAGAGTCTTTCTGTAAAGCAGTATAATCCCCTAATTCCTCTTCCTGGCAAACTGAATGTTTACCTCTTCTATTTGCTTGAAGTTAAATCTTTCTATGATATAAAAACTTTCATTTAAAAAAAGGCATTTATGCTTATTAACTTAAATAGCACCTGCATAATTTAAATTTAGCCCATCTCTAAGAAATATAGGGAATCCAGAATATTCCATGGGGTGAAAATCTTTTTTTTTTTGAAATTGTCTTTTTTATTTCAAATGTATTGTGTTTGTGTGTGTGTGTCGCATAAGAGAGTGTGTGTGAGAGTGTGTGTAAGAGAGAGTGTGTGAGTGTGAAAGAGAGTGTGTGTGAGAGAGTAAAGGAATATGTGTGTGAGAGAGTGAGAGAGTATGTGTGTGAGAACGTGTGTGTGAGAGAATGTGTGGAGAGAGGCAGAGACAGAGAGACAGAGAGAGAGAGAGAGAGAGACAGAGAGAGAGAGAGAGAGTGTGTGTGTGTGTGTGTGTGTGTGTGTTTTAACTCAAAGTCTGGGAAGAGAGCAAAGCACCTTGTCCCAGAGGCTTTTCCTCAGGAGTGTGGTGCTCTGGCTAAACCCTTCTTCACTGATGACTCCCAGGCAGGCAGTGATCCCCATTCTGCATCTCAGCCAGTTCTAGGGACATCCGAGTGAGGCCCTAAGCACATGAAACTGTGTTAGGACCCACGGAGACTTTGGCAAGTGATAGGTCATTGCTGTAAAACAAATGTCTGGTGACCTGCTTGGCAGACAGAAAGGCCCTGTTGGGATGAGTGGGCCAGGACGCTGTCGGAGACCAAGTACATTACCATGTGGCCCCTTCTGAGCATGGCCAGGCCCCGCAGTCCTGCTGCACGCCATAACATTATTCTTGCCTTCTCCTTTGTTGGAAATATTCTTCCCCACCATTGTGCATGATCAATTCTCCCTCACATTCCCCTTCTTGCAGCTGGGATAGAGAAGGGATCACTAAGTCAATGATGTCTGGAGAAATCATTCGGGATGGGAGATGCATGCTGAAAGTAGATAAAGGACCAAACGTGATGGCCTCTCAGTATCTGTATTGCAAACCATAATGCCCAAAAGCAGAGAGAGAGATTATAGGGTAAATTGTCTGTCATAGAGGCAGGGGGAGGGCTGGAAAGTGGGAGGTATACTGGGGACATTGGTGGTGGAGAATTTGCACTGGTAGAGGGATGGGTATTGAATCATTGCATGACCGAACCTCAAATGTGAACACTTTGTAACTCTGTCTCACAGTGACTCAATTAAAAAAATAATCGTAATGCTAATCTTCTAAAATATGATTTTCTAAAAATAAAATTTATTCCCTTAGCGCTGTAGCACTGTCCTCCCGTTGTTCATCTATTTGCTTAAGCGGGCACCAGTAACGTCTCCATTGTGAGACTTGTTGTTACTATTTTTGGCATATAGAATATGCCACAGGGAGCTTGCTAGTCTCTGTTGTGTGGGCAGGATACTCTAGGTAGCTTGCTGGGCTCTCTGAGAGTGACAACAGAATCGAACCCGGGTCGGCCACAGGCAAGGCAAACGTTCTACCCACTGTGCTATCTCTCCAGCCCAAAATTGATTCCTATAAAAAAAAAATTCCCCTTCTTACCCACAAGTTTGAACAAAGGAAAATCAATACCACACTGCTCACCTGCCCTGTAGTTTTCAGAACCCACGGCTGCTTGGTCTGTGTGTGCGTGCTGGAGGGGACAGTGGATGAAGAATTGAGAGCTAGTGGAGAATTAAAAAAATTTTAAATGTGTCTAATGACCTCAAGAAGTTAGGGACTATCTAAAATTAGCTCTTACAAAACTGTTTCTGTATCAGGTGGAGAATTGGCTTTCATAATTTAGGTTGGATGATTTATATTACAAAAATAATCACCTAGGATTAGCACCATTGCTGAGAGAATAATAAGAATCACTTTTTTTGGAAACCTATCTCAAGCAGCCCCACATTTATTTAATCCTGCTGTGCAGTCATTTTGTAAACAGGACCTTCGGGTTTGTGGAGAAGCTAAGTATGAGATTTTCAAAAGGCAGAATCTTAAGCATAAATAAATTGGACTTTCTCTAGATAGGAGAAAACTGCTTTAGTTCCTCCATCAGATCAAAGTCAGGACTGCTTCCTTGCACATATGTTGGATTTTTTTTTCCAATTCTTCAGAAGTTTAAGTAGCATATTATTAAATTTATGATAGTTCAGATAATGTGTTTACAGTTGTGTTGACATTTATGATATTGGGGTACAGTTATTTCACCTCACCACCACCAAAGTACTCAACACCCACACCAATGCCCCTGTGTAAATAGGAGTTTTGAAGGTATTTTTCCTTCTGATGTTCATTTTTATTTCTATAATAAATGTTCTCAAAAGTAGAAAAGACAAATTTTATAGGTATAACATGCTGTATAAATTACATCACGATCACGACCACGACCACCCTGTTGTTCGTCGATTGCCTCGAGCAGGTGCCAGTAACGTCGTCTTCGTCCTAGCCCTGAGATTTTTTTTTTTTAAAGTGCCATATTCAAGGCTTTTTTCAGGGTTAGGAGAATGAGACCTATCATTGTTACTGGTATTTGGCATAGTGGGTATACCATGGGGAGTTTGCCAGACTCTGCCGTGTGGGCAGGTTACATTTGGTAGCCTGCCAGTTTGTCCAAAGTAGGAATGAGATGATAAGATGTCATTCCGGGAGCTGAGTGTGATAATCTCTGGATCCTGGCCATTGTTGGAGTTACACGGCAGTTGTTGGGTGTAACTGTCTAGTTACTGGCAGGTCCAGTCCCAAACCGTGCCGGCTTGGAGATCTCAGCCCCGGGTCCCACACATCTGGGTTCCTCTGCCAGTTCTTTTATGCATGAGGCTCATCCAAGTGTGTGGAGCATGGTCCCAGCATGGCCTTGGCTGGGCCCCAGAGGTCTTCAGCTGTTGGGCCCTGGTGGAGACAGTCAGGCACAGGGTAGGATTATATGTTATTATTATATT